CATAAATATTTCACACGCAACCATTTTATTGCATAGTAACTGACCTCTGCTAGGCTGGCCAAGAAGGCGATGGTCTGAATGGTTTTTCCTAGGCCCATTTCGTCGGCCAGGATTCCATTAATACCTTGGTCGAACAGACCCAAAAGCCAGGCCAGTCCGCGCAGCTGGTAGGCCTTAAGCTCGCCGCAAAACAAACTAGGAGTTCTTGCCATGGCACCATCCGCTTCACCATCATCCACTAAAAGTCGTTCCATAGTGCTGGTCGTAACATCATCTCCATCTTGCTTAGGCAGTAATAACTTCGCTGTTTCACCTAAAGATGCGGTGTCTTTGATGGCAGGAAGTGCCCCACGGGCAGTAGAGTTACTCAACGCAGATTTGGAGATTGAGTGAGGGGCAAAAAGTGTCTTGTTTGGTATGGAAGAGAACATTGATGTCTGATTGAAAAATAGATAAAAGGGCAGAAATAAAAATGTTTAACGAGAGTAAAATATCCCCAAAAATAATTTAATGATTGAAATGGAACGAGGGAAAAGGTACAAATAGATGAGGAATTTCAAATAAATGAGAAAATGGTAAGGCATACAATGAAAAACGATTTAGCGTACTCACCCTGGCTTGTTCATCACGAACAGCACGTTTGACCTTGGCAAGAGCTAACTCTTTTATCTGTTGTGCATCTGAAAATTAGAGGAAATCATGGCGAATTTTCGATAAAAAGTTCTAAGTGCACGCACAAAAAAAGGTTAAATTTATAAAGAAGTTAGCAGTGTAGATATCTAAAACACTGTAAAATGCATGAAAACAAATTCAAAATGAGTGCTATGAAAAACAGCATGCTAAATGATATTTTGACAACTAATCCAAATGAATATAGGTAACGTAGTAGATTGCAAGGACAAAACAAGTTTGCCTCATCAACATTCTGATTAGGAGTGCGATTGGAATAGTTCTGGCCTTTCTTGGAATAAACTTATGTTCTGTGGCCCAGAGGCACTCGCGAAAGTATAACGTAATACTAGCATGTTGAGATTGTACTCTCTACTATACGAGTTCGAGTCCCATTGGGAGATGCTGAGACCTACGCGAGGTCGAAACTACCGTCCACCCTGGATGAGAATACCTTTTGGGAAGATAAGTGAAATTGAATAAAAACGTGAGACCTAATCACCGTATTATGGGGGGAAATAACCTATCAGTCTCATATCACTCAATGTGACTTAAGGCGAATACAGCTCTTATTTGATATTTACTTATTATTTCGAAACCCACTCCGAGAAAACATAAATAGTGTGTTGTAATTATTCTTAAACAAGCAATCCTTTCAGCTATTGAATGCATAGAAATATGTTTGCATGTATGTAGATATAGATACTAGCTCACCATAATCGTCAAACTCATTGACGCCTAAGCGACTGGCAGCCGCCTTGGCTGCAGCTGCAAGCACAGATGATCTGGACGACGCACTTCTCCTTTCGAGCGTATTGCTCTCAGATATTGCCGCATTACCCATCGACTCTAGTTCATTATGCCTGCAGACGACGTCCTCTTCCAGACGGCTTAGAATGCGCCTTGTCTCCTCTTCGTCATCCTCGCGTTGTTCTTCACTTGCCCCGTCCGCTAAGTCATTTGCCTTAATATAAGCTGTATGTTCCTCTTCATTTTGCATTTTTTCAGCCTGTATACGTTCTATCATTTCAGTCTGCATCCCGTCATCTACAAAATCATCTACCTCCCCTCGCTCTTTTGTTAATGCTGCTATCTGCCTTTCCGAAGAAGCGAGTCCATTTTCAGTTGATTCAGATGGTGATCTGTCCACATTATCAACAGAACCGGCAATATCGAGAGTAGAGGCTTCGTTTATGCTATTCGGGTCGAAGACAGTAGATGAGGCGCAACCAGAACCTGAACTGGAGGACATCATCTTCTTGGCCATGAAATGGGCATACAATTCAGTCTGAGTTATGAGGAAGTTGAGCTTGCGTTGTTGTCTCCGCGCTTCAAGCAGTTCAAGGTCGGCCTTACGTTGTTCGGCGGCCGCCTTTTCGGCGCGACGCCGGGCAACTGCAGCGGATTCTGGTTCAATCAAGACAAAATAATTGAAATAATAAGTAGGTCATTATTGTCTTAAATTATATTTAGAAGAAAATAAATGACCTCCTAACTCTGTTGCATCGAAAATTTCCAATAAACGAAAAGTCCTGTTTGTCAATAATAAAGATTTAGCTTCCTATAGAAAGAGAACACTTAGTGCAAAATTTGTAGTTCTTATGGAATATAAGTTTCGATCAAGACAGGAATAGTGCAGTATTAAAAGATATTCCATAAATGCAAATTGAGTCATCATCATGATACAGGAATAATGAATTGTTTAATATATTTTATTTGCTAACCAAATATATCAGCTTATAGAACAAAATTATCCATCGTTACTAGCTTTCGAGTCGACAGCTAAAAGCTTTCTTGCCGGCACTTTTACGCGTCCTACATAACTATAACCTTCGCTTCCAGCTTGAGTAATCAAATCCACTTATACCCACATTTTCACATTTCCCGCAAAGTCCTCCTGATTGAAATGGTCTCAGTGGAGTCATTTGTTGAAGTCAGGCTGACATTCACAGTG